CCCTGTAAAAACCATCTCCTTAAACCGCTTTTTAAACTGCACCATGCTCGGACATTGCTTTATATCTTTACTTAGTCCGTTCCACTGTTACAAGTTTCGTATTCACGCTCATTTTACTTGATATCATTGACTCCAAAATATAATAACTGTATCAAAACAGGAATTAAAATCAACAATAAATCACTTAAAGACAGACAAGAATTTCATCAGAAAGCATGTTAAACTTTGCAAAAAAGATTTTTGATGACCAAGAAGAAAAGCACAAGAAATTCAACTTTGAAACCAAAGCTAGGACGCACAGGTATCTGCATGCCTGGTCCCAACAGTGAAGCCTGAACCAGGAGCAGTGATGACCCGCTTTATACTGAGTGGGATGGATGACCTCAAATAAACCGCCAGCCGCTGTAAAGGCCATCTCACCAAGAAGCAGAGTGCTGCATCAGTTTACTGGTCCCCCACAATCACCAAACCTAAACCCAGCTGAGTTGATTAGGGATGAGCTGGATCACACAGTGAGGGAAAAGCAGCCAACAAGTCCTCAGCACATGTGGGAACTCCTTTCAGTCTGCTAAAAAAAAAAAGCTTCAGGTGACGACCTCATGAAGCCGCCTGAGAGGCCAAACAAAAAGCAAAAGGTGCCAAAAGGTGCATATCTGAGCCAGAGATTGCAGGTTTGATTCACACAGCGGTCAATATGTGCAGCTACTTGACCTCTTCAAGTGTCCCCAGGTCAGGTACTGCACTTAGCCTCTCCCTCCTCATAAATCACTAAGGCTAACAGCGCTGATTAAACTCCTAAAATGTCGATGTAAATGAGGCTGATCACAACCGACACGCTATCCGGTTCATCTGTGACATTTGTAATTAAAAACCACAATCCCCCCCACACACACACACACCCTCCCCCTTGACTGAAGAGAGAGGAAACGGTATCTGAACAGCTGGTTTGGAGAATTAATCGGAGGCGAGATGTGCTGGAAGCCAGGTGAACTGCAACTCGGCTGCTCATTTTCGCTCCGTAGGGGAGCTCCTGGCGATTTCATGAAGCACATCCAGGCTCGCCTTCGTTCATTATACTTTGTATTTATAGAGGAGTCCGGTTTGAGAGAGCCGGCTCGGGTGTCTGTCTGGTCTGAGGGGCTGAAATGGAGCTAAAAGGCAGATGGTGAGACAAAATAAGGTGGTGTCCAGAGAGCAGAGGGGTTAACAAGGTTTTGGGAGTGATGATCTGACCTCCGGGTTCTCTTTTCTCATATTCCCTCATTATTCAAAGATTTCTTACACTTTGTACCTCTGGGTTTGCCTCATTAGTATACAAGGTTAGGATTCTGCAAAAACATTGTGAGT